AGCTTTGACCGTCATAGGCCCGAATATGCTTATACTTAGTATTTAATTTCCTGTCGGTCCGAACAAAAATCTTATTATTGTTTATTCTGTTTCTCCGTAAATTTGTATATTGTGCTTTGTATTTCTTTGTCAATTATTAACAATAAGCTGCACGGTTATTATTTTTATTTGAAGAACTACAGATAATAGTAATACTAACGTGAAATACAAACAGATGAAATGAATCATAGCTAACGTTTTCCCAGATCGTTTAATTGTTCCTATGAACAATGAGCTAACATATGTATCTCTAAGAGCATAAGCAAGAGTTGCAAAATTGAATCTCATAGACAATCACGCCATGAAAAAGGCAAAACGTAATTAATTATATGACCGTACATGATAAACAGATTCATATAACAATAATTTTAATTTAAAAAAACGTTTCTTAATTTATATTTTCTTGAATATTTCGCTGATTTCGCATAAATACAACGGTGTAAATTTATGGGGAAGTAAAAGAATAAAGACTGCCATGAAATTCTGTTTATTCGTGAATATTTTAATACGTTAATATTATCATTAATATTTTATATACGTTTAATTTTTGTTGTCATGATGTAATAAAAAATAATTTTTGTCGTCTATGAAAATCCATGTTTTCTACAATGAGTCGTCCGCGTCTGAATTTGTTTTTTACGTCGACTCGACGAGGATTGTCATGCCATCCTCGTTTGTAAATTTACTCACAGCAGCGGTGCATGGGATATGTTGCATGCCGGTATATTGGTGCTCTTGCTGTGTGTCTTGCCATATGAATTGTCGGTTATTTGGTGATGGTGTTGGTAGTTAGAATTTAGAGTCATTTACGTGTGTCACCTTGATCGAGATCCCACTGTCATCTTCGTCCTCTTCGGTCATTGTCGTCAGTCTCGTTGTCTCGTCGGCCATCAACGCGTTGTCCTTCTTTGGATGCTTCTTTTGTTTTCCCACACTGCATCAGACAATTACGCGAACTTAATCAGTTTTAAAAATTAGATGATAACAGTTTGATGTTGATACTTATATTATTCTTTTTTCTTTTTACTCGAAAATTATTAATATTATAGGATCATTGTCGTTATTATAAAAAAAATTTGACATTACGATAGAATATATCTTAACTTTATTGCTTTTATATTTTATAAGAAATATTAATTTATTATTAAAGATAATATTAAAATCTATGTTAAAAAGTGTGTGTCAAATTCTATAAATGTGTGATCGTGCTTTTATTGAAAATAATTATGTCAATTTCAAATTATGTTTAAGTTCTTCAACTAAATTAACTAAGGAACGATTTGATTACAGTTTAACGATTGCCTATTTGTTTTCAGTTGTCGTAACGTTTTGATTTTATACAATCATTACAATATCTTACTTGAATGGAATTTATGATGAGCTTCTGTAAATATTCAATTATAAACGACCAAATAAACGAGCAAATACAAGATGTTTTATTTAAAATATTTAATATTAATTTAACATACTAATAATAAGAATATAAGAATAGACGTTTCGATTTACAGTTTTCTTCTTAATATAATTAAATAAATCTATCTATTTCGCTTGACAAATGCTACAAACCGAAAAAAATTCCATGTCAATTATTAATTTGTCGTTTGTAATTGAACTGTTTTGCTGTGCAAACTTCAAGCGCTATTTATTTATATTCTTTGTTTTATTCTATAAATATATAACCAAGATGATGAATCGTCAAATTTAAAAAAGCTTCCTCGTAAAAAATTCTTACATTTTAGAAAAATAAGACATACAAATATGTAATAAAATTTGAAAATATGTCAATAAAATATATAATTTCGTGTTAAAGTATCATTATTATAAATAAAATAAAGTATGAATAGTAAGAAACACAATATCTTTAAATGAAGATGAAATAAATAATTTAAAAAATTATTAATTAAAAATCATTAGATTAATTTCATTAATCAGAAATTGCTTGAAAGTTTTATATAATCGACAATTTCAGTTATTTCATTCCATGTTTTATATTTTTATATAATCTCTCCAAAAAATGCATAAAACTATTCGAAATTCAATACCTACTTGATTAGTGATTTTGACTGTTTCGTTTTTTCGTTGCCTTCATTGACTTGTTGCCAGATACCAGTTTTATTCACTTCTTCGCTGATATTGATACTCGCTAAAGGAATCTTCATGATGTTCCCATTAGCTAAAGAGATCTGAATGTTCCCTGCAGGAGGTCCATATCCCATCGTTTCGTTGTGATCCTGCAGTACGAATGAAACAATAGTTTGAATCTGAATCTTGATATGTGCGACGAATTTCTATCAGGCCATGCATAAATTCAAGCGAACTTTGCGTTGCCTTCGAACTGCTGGGAAGCAGGTGAAATACGTTGCTTGCCAGCATATTTTTTAGTCGATCAATTATACAATAATTATACGAGGAAGTAATAACGATCAGACAGGGGCGTCACGTAACACTATGAATAAATTTACAAGGGTGTGACTTGGCGTGTAAATAAGTCTAACAAAGAGAAGAATGCACAATAGAAAAATCAGTGCGACGAATTTGTGATGATAGAATTATATTAGTTGTTTTTTCTTCTTTTTCGAGGAGAGGAAATAATTTTAATAAATAGCGATTCTGTTCACCTTGAGAGTTACGATCATAATTTGTATCAATATTTTGTATTATTTTATC